ATTACTATTAAATCGAACGTCTCGACAAAATAAATCTAACGAGCCTAAGATCACTCAATTCTAATATTTTAAAGACATTTAAATATGAATGGAATGTTATCCAACCACATGAATCTCTTTAGGTCGTCGAATAAAATGATCCAGATTCCTTCCTTAATTAAAGAGAGATCTTTTTTAGACTTTATAAATAGAGCTCTACCCCCGAGGAAGTCTGGAGCTTAGAGAAGAAGAAATTGAGGTTCAACGTTCTATACCAAAGGTCCAAAGAATGTCAAACTCTCATGCAACAGCCGACACCATCGACCACCGCTCGTCAATCGCTCTTCACCATCACCTGTCACCCCCTACTCATTGTAACTAAGCCCTTGAAGAATCATTACATGTTATGCATAATCCCACTGTACGCTATGCAATAGCAAAACATCTTACGAAGCAGTGCAATGACACACTCCAAAGATGGTGACACGAAGCATCCAAAAGGTAATGCACAAACACATCCAGAATATGGTGCAATGATGCACCCCTACGGTGCAACGAGAAATCCTGATGATGGTGTAACGATGCATCCCCAAGATGGTGAATTAACACACATCGAATATAGTGCAATGATGCACAACATAAGAACTGCTTTCAATAGCCGTACTCATAATATATTGACTTTCTCTGGACTTTTAATGCTCTCTCCTCGCAACTCGTCGCTATAACTTACATGACTAACTACGAACTACAGGGCTAATAGCTCATGCAACTCCAACTTTAACATTTGTGGCATAAAGACTTTATCACAACTCATACAACTCCCAACTAAAGTCTACGTTGCTCACATCTCATGCAACTTCTAGCTGCAGCCTCTGTTGCTGATGGATATTGTCATAGCTCATGCAGCTCCTAACTTCAGCCTCTGCGACCTACAAAAATTATCACAACTCTTGTAGCTTCTAACACCGACCTCTATAACTTACGGACATTATCATATCTCATGCAGCTCCCAACTCTGGTCTCTATGGCTTATGAATATTATCACAGTTCATGCAACTCCCAACTATGGCCTACGTAGCTCATAGCTCATGAAGCTCCTTACTTGAACTCTGTGGCTTATTGATATTATCACAGTTCATGCAGTTCTCAATTCTAGCCTATGCGGCCTATAAATGTCATTATAGTTTCTTGTTATGGCCTATGTGACTAACTATGAACTACACAACTCACAAACGGCATTGCAACTCCCTATTATGGTTACTGCGGCCAAGCAATTCTTCTAAAGCAACCATTTACGGGTCACATGACCAATTACTATTATGACTTTCAACTACGATCTGTACGATAAGCCGGCGCTACAACCGCTGTCTAGAATATTCAAACAAATTCTTGCCTCCATAGTAATCAAATGTGGTCTTCACGACCCGCCACAGTCACCAAATACTACAAAACAAATGTTGGGATGATTAGATTAGAAAGTAAGAGTACCTTCCTTGGGTAATTTAATATTTATTCAGTGAGCTAAGACATCCTAAATGTGGAGGGTCTATTAAATGTTTAAAAAGATAAATTCAAGCAATTATGATCATTTTAAATTTGGCCGTATCATGATCTACTAGCAACCACAAATTTATAAATTAGTTTTTTTCCTCATTGTTATGAAATTGTAGAATTTGTTCCCACTTGGATTGCTCTTAGGCAACCGCAGGTGTTCTAATTTGATATATTTTTTTTTGTTTTGATATGCACTTATTGTATTTGCTCCCACCAAGATGTTGTCATGAGCAACCACAAATTTGTTAATTGGTTGTATTTGCTCCCTCGTGTATGGCCACCTCGGCCAACCGTGGGTCTGCTTTTTTTTATAGATTCATGATGAGATATAAAATCTTGGGGGTTCTTATGGATGTCCATTGTGTTATTATAATTTCAAATATATACGTGTTTGATTGCTCGACAAACCAAAATCTCTTTTTTTTTTAATCATACGACCTTAGGGGTTCTTCTGGATATAAGTGTCAAAAAACTCGCCATTCGTGAGTAGCTTGTGTTTGACATGCTATGCAGCTCGTATTCGATTTGTTTAATAAGGAAACGAGCTAAAAATGAACCTACATATTAAACAAACTTATATCTGACCGTGTTCTACTTGTTTTGGCTCAAATTAACTACATAATATATAAAAGTTAAAATAATGATATAAAAAAATTTATTTATATAAATGTAAAAAGGAAGAAAATTAGATGTTAATATATAGGTTCCCCTTATGAACATTTCTACAAAACGCATCGCTCTTAAGTCAATCTAACTCAAAATCTTTAAGTGATCTACAAATAATTTATAATAACTTAAAACTAATTCGAAATATTTTAAATAATTTAAGTAATCTAAAATTTATTATAAATAATATAAATAACTTAAAATTAATTTTAAAATATTTCAAATATTTTAAAACAATGATTTAAAACTAATTTTTAAATGATTTAAGTAACTTAAGCAAAATTAATTTTAAGCAAAGTAATTCGAATTTAAGATAATTTTAAAATATTTTAAATACCTTAAGACAAAATAAAAAAAATTAAGCTCTAAGTAATCTAAATAACATAAAATCAACTTAAAACCTTTGAAAAATAATCCAAAAATAACTTTAAAATACTTTAAAACCAATTTGAAAAGAATTAAAAATATTTAAACCAAATATTTTAAACAATTAAACCAAATACTTTAAACATTCATGCTAAAATATTTAAATCAAATAACTTAAATAATTAAACCAATAATTTAAATATTAAAAATTTCGCACTTAAACTAAAAAAAATTAAAACATTTAAACCTAACATGTTAAACATTTTAATTAAAAACTTTAAATAATTAAATTAAAAATATTTTAACATTTAAACTAAACAACTTAAAACAATTAAAACATACAAACAACTTAATTCAAACGATAAAAGAAATTGAAACATATAAGTTTGCAAGTGACATGAGCATTAACATAAAACTTTATATTGAGAATTTAAATTTAAGGACAAAACCAAATGGATTAAACCAACCTAGAAAATCAATTGCAAAACATTAAACTTAGGAGAACCCTGACTTTCCATCAACTGACAAACCTAATACTTAAAAAAATAATGACATAAATATTAAAACTCAAACAAAATTAAAATCCACAAATTTTAAAAAACGAGAACCAAACCAAGATAGATCCGATGTGAACCCTAGATTAGTCAACACATAAACAAAGATCAAGGATCACACGTACCTTAATTTAGTTTAGTCTACACACCATAGATTAGTTTATTAGGTACATTAGTTAGTATTAAGGAGTTTGACTAATAAAAAAAAACAACTTTATCCTCTGAAATTAAAGGGGATGCTTTATAATGAAGTAACTCATAATTACTAATGAAGGCATCTCAAACAATCTCTCGCCATAAAACTCTTCACTTGCCATGGCCATTGCACTAAGTGAATATTTCTGACGACGAGGCTGGTAATAGTTGAAGGATACCAATGCACCCGGAACGAAGAAAAGCTATGAACATCTTGATTGGGGGCGTTATTCCCAATGTTTAGGTTATTCTTCTTATTTAAGACCCCTTATAGAGTTTAGATTTATGTCAAAGCTAGAGTTTCATTCCATATAAAAATCCTTCTTACCCAACTCTGCTTTTTAGTATAAGAATCCCTTCAAACTCAAACAACTCATGATTAAACTGGCAAACCTATTTTCCCAAATCAAAACTCTGAACTTAACTCCTAATCAATATCTTCAAACCACACTTGTTCAAATCTTCTTACCCCTTTTTATTTTCTCACAATCTTAATTTAAATCTAAATCTCCCGTGTAAACCCTTCTCCTTTGTGGGTCAAATACTCTTCTTTGAGCATTTTTATGATACAATGTCACTGAATTGTATGTAACTTCTTTTTTAGCTCAGCTTTTCCAAAAATTGTTGATTTGAATCCATTCAATAACACATTTTACAAGTCCAACCCCTGAGAGTCTAAATAACAGAAATCATTTATTTTATCGAGTGTTTTCTCTGAAGTTTACAGTTCTGGAGATGTAATTAACTATAAGAGCTTGCTCTTGTAAGGACATCCTACCTCAGAATAAAATAAATCCTAACCTACACCAATAAGGTAGGGTGAAAAACCTTGGTTCACGTAAACTCATAAATCTTTAAAAAAAATTTTATCATCCGAATAATTAGGCTCATTGGAAAATCATTTTCATGATCTGTGGTGGCATGAGGATCATCCAAAAAAAAAATCATTTTGGATCTTATATCAACTTACTTGGTTGAATTGATGTTTTCTACTGCAATCAATTTTTGTTAGGGTCTTCAACTGAATATGGTTGATTGATTTGGCTGATTGGAGTTGTTCTGCAAGCTTGAGGATTGTCTTCTAATGAGAATGATTTTGGATTATCTATAAGTTTAGGTGATCCAATGAATTTTTCAAAGATGTGCACTCCTTATTTTGAGCTAGAGATTAAGCAAAATTTTGGATAGTTCTTTTACTTTTTAATTTTTTCCTATGATGTATTTTCCCAATCTATTGAGAACTTTTTTTTTTATGCAATTAAGCTTCTTTTCTAATATAAGTTAAAGGTGACCCTCATTTTCCCACAAAAAAACTACTTCTATTTCTATTCTAATTTTACAAAAATTTGCTCAAATGAGTGCTTTGAGAACTTTTTTTTTATGCAATTAAACTTCTTTTCTAATATAAGGTGACCCTCATTTTCACACACAAAAAAAAGTACTTTTATTTTTATTCTAATTTTACAAAAATTTGCTCAAATGAGTGCACATGTGCCAGATTCTTCTGTCACCATAAAAATTTAAAAAAAAAAAAAAACATAGATCAACTGTATCATCCCAACTTCTAATATGTTTAAACACAGATTCATCACCAAAAAAAAATTTTTTTTAAGAAAAAAACATAGATCAACTGTTTCATCCCAACTTCTAATATGTTTAAACACAGATTCATATCCTTTCCATTGCTGCTACATTTTGTATCTAACTTTTTGGCCTTGTTTAAAAGAAAAAAAACAAAAAAGGCCTGCAAATCAAATAAATCTTCTTCTGGGAGATAAACTAAACTTGTTCCAGCCTCAACTGGAGCTCACAAGGGTAGTCCCTTGCACAGCAATGGAAGCCCTATCATCTATACTCCTTTTACAAGATAGTTTCTCTCCTAACTGATATGATTTCAATCCCTCCTCGTTGTAAGACCTTTGAAAAATCTCTCCTGTTTGTATTGGTTCTATGACAACATCCTCCTGCTCCACAAAAAAATTCGATTTTTGGAAGCCGAATCGTTTTTGGTGAAGCGAAGAACTAGCTCTGCAACAATCTTCCTCTTCTGCCATTGTCCTCTCACGGAAAATCTCAAGCTTCTCTAACTCATCAACTAGGTTTATTTCCTGCTCTGGTTTGCAAACAACTTTAAGATCTGAAACATTTGGGATATTTAAAGGCTGTGTTTCTTCAAATGTAGACTTCGAACTCTACTTCCCCATTCATTCTTGTCTTCAGCTGGGGCTTTCTGTATAGATGGGAAAGCAGTTTGAGAGATTATTCTATATTCGAAGATTGTGAAATATAGATATTTCAAAACTAACCTTAACATCAGTAAGATCCACATTGTTTTCCTCAAGGAAGCTCATGAACTCTTCAAAGTTTTCTTCGGTTGGGCGGTAGTGACCACTATGAGGCCATGCAGCCTGCGGAACAAAACCGCAGATCAGTTTAGTTTTCAGAATTATTTAAATTTTGTCCATAGAGAAAAAAATTGTGCAGAGTTTATTTCTTTTTTACCTTCAGAATACCTTTTTCTGCAACTATTCTTCCAGCTGCTGAAGTAGCTCCTCCAGCAAGAAAACTAGAGTGATGAAACATGCCTTTCCTCTTCTGCATCATCAATGTATTTATTACAGTGGTTGAGAACATTATATATCAGAATAGTCAAGGAAGCATAAATTTGATGAATGATTATATAAGATAGCCAAAAATCATAGATTATTTGCATAGATAGCAAAGTTATATGAGTAAAAATCATAAAAAAAATATATAAATACACATAAGGAACGAATAAAGAAAGAAAATTTATAAACTCAGAGCCCAAAAATTGGGAGGATGATGAGAATAACATATGATAAAGAGAATCCTAAATATACATACCAGACCAACGTATAACTTCTTCAGTGTGCTAAGAACAAATATCCATTTTGAATCTACTGGCCCTCTAGTTGTGTCCAAGCGCTCCCTGCTCTTCTTGTAGATGAGTTTACCATCTTCAACAATGACTTCATAAGCTTCTCTCTCTTTCTATAGAAGCGAAAATCCCTTTTTTAAGTTTTATATCTGCTTCATGGCATATACAGGCTTCATTTCTTGGATAGGATTACTTACAGGGCCAAGATATCTGATGCACTGTTGCTGCAGCGTTGACCTTAGACACTCATTCAGTTTAACTTCCATCCCTTCTCCTTCGTCAAGCCTGCATTTTTATGACGATCATCTTTAAAACGATATAGTTCCGGTAACAGTGGAGTTTTTCTGTAAATAATTGTAATGAGGAATAAATTTCTCAACCTACCAGTAGAAGAAAGGCTGATTATTCACGCAATGAAGCCAGCACTCGTAGTAGAACTGGAGGTTATGACCATATCGATGGCGAGGATCAATCTGATTTCAGAATTGCAGGAAAAATTTATAAATGGATTGTGACAGATCAAAGGAGGAGAAAGAGAGTTCTTCGTGTTCTTATTACATACTGCTTCAAGCCAGTGCTGTAATGCTAGCTTTCTAGCTGTTCCATTCTTAGACAAACCTTTGCCAACCTAATAAAAATAAGAAAAATGGAATTTTTATGCTTGACATTAAATATATAGCTAAGTTTCTCAAGACAACAGAGTAGATAGCTAGATACCTTAGCTGCCCTGGTTCTTGCTCTTGACCATTTAGAGACAATGGATTCAGGTTTCGCAATGTCAAAAAATGATACTGAGCTTCTCTTAAGCAATGCAAAATCCCGCAATTTCCACCTGGATTTGGAACGAAAACGCAAATTTGAAATAAGATGGTAGTTGAAGAGAATTATGTTATAAAACAATTATATAATTCTAGCAACATAGACAAACCATCTTTGTTCCAACAAAACAGCACAATCTGCAAGTTCTCTTCTTGTTCTGAAGCTTCTGTATACCTTCTGCAATTTCAAAGCAGTTTCATGATTTAGGCTGCCGAGTTCGAACCGAGGTAAGTCCATATCTTCTTGGCTGAACCTTGAGCGCTTCAATGGGTTCGCTTTGCTGCTGCTGGTTTCAATTAGAGAGACCTCCGAGTCGCAGCCATTAAAATTTAGAGAGCAAAGGTTGGATCTTTCATCGAAGAGAGCTTCATAGCCGTCGTTGAATTCCTGGCCTTTGCTTTCAGGGCATAAGAACGCTAATCCCATTTGGATCGATTCAAGAAAAAAAATCCTGGAAGATCGGATTTTGTTGATCTTTCAATATCTCGCTGTTAGAAAAGATTTAATTTTTTCTCTTCCATTGAAAACAGGGCAAAGAGCTGGTCGACGAAAAAAAAAACCTTTGATTTCCTTATAGAACAAGAAGAAGAAGAGGAAGAAGAAATTGCTGAAATCAAGAACAGGGAGTAAAAACAGAGCAAAGAGCTGGTCGACGAAAAAAAAAAACTTTGATTTCCTTATAGAAGAAGAAGAAGAATAGGAAGAAGAAATTGCTGAAATCAAGAACAGGGAGTGAAATAGAAGCTATGTTATTTTTTTCTTTATCCTGACCTTTGCTTTAAATAGGAGAAGTGGATGGAGGATGGAGCCATGGAGGATGGAGGATGGAGGATGGAGGCGATTAGGAAAAGCAAGGAGGAAGGAGTATGGGCCCAAACACTGGCTTTCAGCCACGTGTTGAGCTCGTGGACGCCTGTCTCCAGCATTGTTGGGGCGCGGATTTTCTCACGAGGGTTTGAAAGAAAAATAAAAATTTGCCCTGCACACAAATTTTATATTTTTATATATCTCCATCTAAACTTTCATATTTACATAACATTTTTCATCCATTAAATGTAAGCATGAAATGCTGTAATTTTTTTAAATAATTAATATATTAATTTTTATGTATTATTAAAAATTTGATACCATGTGTGTAAATATTAAAGCTTTATAAGATATGATATGTAAATACATATGAATTGTATGCTACATATAATGTATGTAAATGAACAAAAAAAAAAAAAATAGTTACATAAATCTCACTCAATAATAGATAAAAAGTGAGCATTATTTGATCAAAAAAAAAAAAAAAATCAATCGCATTTTATTAATTTAAAATAAAGTATGAGTTTTTAGTTTGGAAAAAAAATTGATATTTACAATTTTAATTTTATTTTTGAATTTATTTTGATATAAAAAAACATGGTTATTAAACTCACTTAAATTGGATGATCTATTACCAAATTCATATGACTTGTCTCCACTATTTAGTTAATCTTGTGGTCTATTAAAGAGAGAGCGAGATAGTGAGAAGAATTTTCCCAACTAGAACATTGATTTTTAATAATTTTAGGATTAATAATAATTTTTTGTTTACCCATAACAAAATCAACTAAAGTGAATTAAATTTGATTTGCCTTTGTTGAATCCTACCAAGGAATAGAGTGTCAGTAAGGAGAGAGGGAGAGATAGAAAGAGAAAGAGATGAGTGAGCAATAATATGTCATGTCAATTGTGTCTTATTCATAAAAAATTCTCTCTATTTATATGGAGGAAGGTACAATGTGATGATATTATATTTTTTTCTACTATTTTAATGGGGCAGTACTAGGGCATTTCTAATATTTTATGCATATAAACTTACTTTTTGACTGCTCTTTAGGTCGAATGACTGAGCTTAATTTGCTTCGAGTTGGCAAAATAAACTCAGCTAAATGGGACCAGCTCGATCGGTTGAGTTTGGTCGATAAAAATTGAATGATTGATATAGCTCGACTGTTAATCCTTGACCCTTGATGAGAGACCCCTGAATGTCTCTGGGATGGTTGAAGATGTGAGGGAGACAGAGCTTCTTTGGATCGGCTCTCTTAGGACTGTTGAATCTAATGTCCTTTTGGCTCATTCCTGTTTGAATGGCTCGGTCTAATATCCTTTGTTTATATTTGGTCTATCTCGTGGCACAGTTGGCTTTGGCCTCACTAGCTTTGACTCAAATAGCTTCACTTGGTCGGACAATTGGGTCACTCGGTCTTTTGTCGGCGGGCCCTTCTTTATTGTATAGTACATTTAGTTCTCCTCAGAATCAACGCTGACACAACATATTTTTGTTATTTGATTCTCTTACTTCTTGAAAGCGACGATGCGATAAGAATAGGAGAATTTAATGAAAAAGGAAGATCAAATTTACAATTAATCAATGATTCTATAATTGAGCTCCCTTAATTTTTACGCTTTAGATTATTATAAATAAGGCGTGAGCTGATCTTTTTTGCTTTTGGCTTTTACATTTTCAATAACTACCTTGTAGATGCCTCAACAGATAGTAAACTTCTTATGATATCTGAAATATGTATTACATCTCCCTCTATTTTGATTTCTTTCTCTTTTTTATTTTTAAAGAAGTCGTCAGTTTGTGCATCGTCGTATACTTCTCTTCTTCAAATATGTCTCTCTTCCAGATCATATAAATGATCATGAGAAAAAGAAATCGGAGCAACATGACAATGACAAAGACGGATAAACAAGATAAAGAACGTGAAGAGCCTACGTGAGATAAATCTCACAAGGATATGTCAAGTATGTCCGCCTAAACATGATCGGGCAGAAGCACCTTGAACCAATATCTGCGAAAGAATACCTACTTAGCCACCCACAACCAAAGATTTGGGAGTGTTTGTTTGTTCTGGGGTCTAAAATACTCACAAGGGGATTCATCCCACTTAGTTAATTACATCTTCTGGGTTGTCAAAAAAAAAAAACTCTTAATTCAAAGAAGTTTTGCTTACATTAGTAGTGATGACTAGCACAAGGCTATCAAAGGATGATTATTTTGCAAAGGAATGCTCCAATGCATTCAAAGCTCCTATTGAGCCATGAGGTAGAGAGTGAGTCTCTCATGATACCACATGGGTAACAGGCTCATCGGCATACAGAGCATGCAAAATAACTGAATCATCTTGATGAGGTCTCCCGATACGTCAAAGCACATTTGGGTCATAAGTGCGTTGGACAAATCGTTTTAATCTAAATGGGCGGCAGCTCATCGGCAATCGAGTCGTCATGATGATACTAATGAAAGAAAAATAAGCGACAGTGCTCAATACAGCTAGTCAAAAAAAGGGATGAGTAATCCCTAGAAGGTAGAGGTAGTCGGGTCGGCGTACCACAGACCCGTCATCCCAAGCCATTAGAATCCTAAGTATACTTAGTCGTGAAGATAGTCAACCCATTTCTATAAATAGAGGCACGTCATGTAATTGTACGATGACCCATTTCTATAAATAGGGAGTCCATTTCATGAATAAGTGTTATGCTTTAATACTAGGCTATTGCACTTCCCTCTCCCTCTCCCTCTCTCTCTCTCTCTCTCTCCCCATTTCATGAATAAGTGTTATACTTTAATACTAGGCTATTGCACTTCCCTCTCTCTCTCTCTCTCTCTCTCTCCCCCTCTCTCTCTCCCTCGCAATCTCTGTCACTCACTCTCTCTCTCTATTCATTAGTCGTGTCTTCCGGATATATTTGAATTCAATGGTAGAGAAGATTTCCTTTGGAACAACCACATTCAATTTTAAATATTGCATTATTAAAAAATAAAAATAAAAAAGACAATTCAAATACTATTAAATAAATAAATAATATAATGTTTAAACAAGAAGAGAAATTCTGGATAATGAGTGATGATGTATGAAAATAACCCCCATCACAAGAAAATACATATATATAAATATATATATATATATATATAATAAATTTAATACATTGTTTTATTCAATGTCTCAAAATTGTGTCTTTAGCAATAAGAATAGACCTTTGAAGTCGCTATCATTTTTGCATGGTGGTTGAGGTTGTAATTAGCAGGTGAAATAATTAAAAAAAATTACTAATTATCATTCATTATTTTTGTAAGGGGCATTTACATACATACCTCCCTATTCTTATGTATTTACATGCCAAGCCCCCAAACATTACTATTTATTATCTTTTTTACGGCCCAAAATTTTCATATCACATCAAAAATATCATTTTCTCTATTTTTAAAATGTCAAATATACCACTTTTGTATAATTAAATAAGATGACATATATGTAAATATTAAAGTTCAGGTGCTAGACATGTAAATACATAGGAATTAAGTGGCATGTATGTAAGGCTTCCTTTATTTTAAAAATGGCTGTCAATTTTCTATTTTTTATCAAAGAGACAAATTAGTTGTTGTTTTTATTAATTTAATTTTATAAGGTAAAAGCTAAAGCTTAGGTTTGCACATGAACATTTTCTATATTTTTAATGTGAGAGATCAATTTATTAGCTGGCTTGGAGAAAAGCATATGCAAATTTATATTTTTCACCCCTCTAAATTGCATATTTCAACACCTCTTTCATAATATGAAAAAAGTAGCTGTCACTTGTGTCGTTAGGGTTGAAACCATGTTGCACTCGCCTCCCTTTGTTGTCGGTGACATCAAACCAACCGCCTCCCTCCGTTGAAGGTTTTTTCTTTTATGTATTTTTATTCATTTTTGGTTTATCTCTGTTTTATTGTCTCACCCGACTTCTGTGTTTGTTAATTAGTGCTGCTTTTCTATGTTTTTAAAGAATTTTTATTGGACTTATTTTGTGTATGCCTATTCTGATGTTAATAGGCCAATTTGTTTGCTCTTTCCTCTTCTTCAGTATAGAGAAACTTTTTGGGGGGAGAAATTTGAGCACTGTTTTTTTTTTTAATTTTTTTATTATTATTTTTTTAAAGATTTATACTATTGGAAATGCATATGTTTTCATACAAACTTGAAGGCTACATGGTGTATAAGTTAGCAACATCTACTTACCTTATGATCAATTGGCAGAAGTTAAAGAATGATAGATATATGAACACTGTTTTTTTGTCTTTTACAAATTTTTTGTTGGACTTGTTTAATATATGTCTGCTTAAATGTTAGTTGGTCAATTTGCTTACTCTTGCCTATTCTTCAGTGTAGAGAAATTTTTTTGGGGAAGAAATTTGAGCATTGATTATTATTATTAATTGAAAAATTTATACCATTGAAAATGCATATGCTTTCGTACAAACTTGAAGGTTACATAATAGATAAGCTAACAACATCTACTTACCTCTTGATCAATTAGGAGAACTTATAAAATGATAGATATATGATCACTATTTTTCTGCCTTTTAGAAAAGTTTTATTGGGCTTACTTTGTGTATGTCTTTTCAGATGCTAATAGGTCATTTTGCCTGTTCTTGCCTATTCTTCAGTGCAAAGAAACATTTTTAGGGGAGAAATTTAAGCACTGGTT